ACCTTCGTCGTATTACCAAATTACTTTGTGATACTACTAAGTTTCAGAAATCAGAATCGTCTTGCTAATGACGAATAGATTAAACGATTATCGGATCGAACGGATTAGATTAAAATTATGCGAGAAAAGAGAATGAATTCTTGAAATGGACGTAAGAATTTTAGGATACATAATATGTGTGAAGGAATGAAAGATGACTGGACGATGAAGCAAGGGGTCATGGAGTCGACAGTCGAAGAGAAGAGCAGTTACAGAGTCGGTGCAATTGTTACTAGTCCTGATAGTACTTTATTTTTAATTTCTCTTTAGCTCGGAATAAATATATTTTAGAATCTAACTTACTGTTTCATTTGCCAGTCCATATTCCCTATGCTAATATTATTGTATTATATATTTGTGGGGGGTTCTCCCCCGCGGTTATTGCTAGTCGACTGGTCGCAGGTATCCTCGATGTGGCAGTGATGATAGAAGGGGTGCATTTCGTCCTGGGCTTGCTGTGGACTCATAAGTAAGGTTACCTAGCAGGCCCTTAGACGGGGACACTATTGGAAGGTTTGGAAATTGTATAGATCATACTCATTGGCCAATTCTCATGCCCCATAATTAAATGTCGAACTTCGATTAACTCGGACCATAAGGGCTACCAAAAATCATAAGCCAAAAAGGGCTACCTAGCAGGCCCCTGCCTTAGACGAGGATATTATAGGGAAGTCTAGAAATTCCATATATAGGAAACGGAAGTTTTATCGAGGACTTGTGAGAAAATCCTCGAACCTCCTTCAACTATGAATTCATATATTGGCGAGGGTGAGAATAATGCCGCCATAACTATAAAATATTTGCAATTGGAAAGATTGGAAATTGTATATGTAGGAAACCAAAGGGTTTACCGAGGATTTCCTCGCAAGTCCTCGAACCTCCTTCAAGTAGGAATCCACCTATTACCAAGGATTTGCATGATACCACCACGCATTAATATCATCGACAATATAATATATACATACCAAATTTATAAACTACCCTGTCTAATATCATACGCCCGTCTCCTATCCTCAAAAATCCAACCCTCTGCATGGATCTCTTCAAATCACTGATAAAAATCTGTAAAGCCATTCGAAACTCGAAAAAGCACACGGAAACTTATTTCTCTGATTCAAGCAGGAATCCATGTATCGATGAGGGTGAAAATGATGCACCACATATGAACACTTTGTCACGCACTTTTAATATGGCACCCTCGGGGGACCAAGATAAAATTTCCATTATTCTTAGAATATAACGATAACTTATCAAACAATATGGCAAAGAAGAGAAATAAAAATGATGCAAATTATTAATGTTTTCTATTCAAGGTTTTCTATTTATTTACGTTGATCAAATATTCAACAGTTGGTTAGAATAAAACAAATATACATTTAAAAAGTTAGTATCGCCCGACACTGGTGATCACCATGGCAGTCAACGTGTTAATACCATGGATAATATAATATGTACGTATAAGGTTTATAAACCACCCTATATAACCCTTTGCACTTGGCGATTTTTTCGGTACAGGAAAATAGTAATTCGAATTTCTACCATAAGGTTGGCAATATTTTTAAAACGGTATAATAAGAAATCGTATGCGATTTAAGACGTAGGAAGGTAGATATAGACGTTGGGTAAATGTAAATTTGATATATTAATTAATATCCATTTTTAAAATCTGATTAAACGGCGACTGAGAGGCACATCTCGAGTGCAAAGGGTTAATATCATACATCAATATATCTCCAATCCTCAACGAATCAACCCTCTCTCCATAAAAATCTGTAAAGACGTTCCGAGCTGGAAAAATCGCAGGGAAAATTATTTCCTGTGATCACGCAAACAGCTTCTCCGATGAAAATTGCCAACTGATCGTCTCCTGTTTTTTTCATCTTGCGAGGCGAAGCTAGGGAAAGCTGCAAATTTGTTTTCGCACTTTTTCACGGACGTGTACAAATGTTTTCGGCATAATTCGACGGCCGGGGAAATGTAACTGTTATCGCGTGGAAGTCAATACCGATTTCGGTGAAAACACAGGTGGATACGCGGGGTGCTATATAAATGTGGCGGCACGTACGTAACATCGTGCACGGATCGCGGACGGAGCGTGGACGAGGAGAGGAGCGACGTCGGCGTCGGCGTCGGCGTCGGCCGCGGCGGAGGGCGAGGTACGTCGAAGCGATTTATTAAATACTGTACCAGTGAGCATTGTTATGACACGGCTGTGCAAATATTATTTTACAAATATACGGCGATGAACGTTATCCGCCGCTCTCTGCCTCTATGTACCTTTTGCCTTCCTCGTGGCCAACAGCGAAATTTTATTAGGCCGACTTCGACCTGCCTTCGCGAAGGTTCCGGTCCAAGAGAAAAAATCCAAGGGACGTGTAAACGTGGGTACACACGACTGGAGAGAAGGGTGTACCCTCGTCTCGATGTCTATGCGCATGGTAGAAATTCAGAAGTTATTAAAATAGAAAATCAAACGCATCGGAGACAGAACCTAAGTGGCATTATCTCAGATTCCAGATATTTATTATGTGTCAAGAAGAAACATAACCAAGCTCTAAACTGTGAATTAACTAAGATAAATATACACCTTTATATATACAACGTTATTTAAAATATATATGTTCTTCAAAATGGAATCTATTAAAAAGCTTCAAAATTTGTTCCACCCTCGAAATTTTTCGCGAATTAAACGAATCTATCCACTATGGTTCCTAACAAGAATTTGAAGAGTTCCTGAAAATAAAATTTTCGATCTGAATAGAATTTACAATACGTAAACGTAAAGATTCTATCGTAATTTTCTGTATTATGCTGAATATTCTATCAACTGCATTGTTCTACCAAATGGTATCAATGGAAAAATACTATTGTCCAGTATTATATATTTATTTATCTCAGTTAATTCACAGCTTAGAGCTTATTTATGTTTCTTCTTGAATAATAAATATTTGAAATCTGAGATAATGCTACTTAGGTTCTATCTCCGATGCGTTTGATTTTCTATTTTAACCCCTTGCACTCGACGATTTTTTAGCTAAAGAAGAATAGGAGTTAAAAGATTTTCTGTTACAAAGCTGACGATATTTTTCTGAGCAGTGAATAAGAAGTCGTATGATAATTAACACGTAGAATTATTTCATTTCGATACCTCGCACACCGTTACATTATCTGAAATTTCACATATTAATGAATATCGAGCTTTGAAATTTTATCAAATGGCGACTGAAGGGCGCCTCTCGAGGGCAAAGGGTTAATTACACGTGATCTTCATATTTTTCATTTCGAATATACATTTGATAGTATAATATCGTGTTACATACCTAATACTAGATTCTTAAATGAAAGTAGTACCTTGCAGTTTTATTTATTTTCTAACACCTTTTCTGATAAATGTTCCGATATAACTCGTTTTCGTGAACTTTCATTATACAGATTCTGGAATACCTGTTCCACAAGAGCACTTTTTATAGCGATTTTTTATAGCAAGAGTTGTTTTTACACAAATTCTACGGAAACAGATATTTTCTTAAGAGAAACGTATAAAATCAAACAGAATTACTTCGGAAATGAGAGATACTCGTGTATTTCGAACCCTGAAATATTTTACAAATGGTGTTTTAGTCACTTTGGTTGATCCCCTGTCCTTCTCAGTAACTGTAATTTAATTTTATCATCGAGGGAAATTTGCGAATTTGCGCTTCTTTCGCACTAAACGATATCGATTCCTAATAGTTTCGATTTCATTAGGCATCGAGTACACTTGAGTGATTATATAGACTGTTGATCTGGAAGATGCATTGCAATCCTGAGTTTGGCGTCAGTAGCTGTTGAAGCGAGAAAAGGGTAACCGATTTTGACGATCTTGATCGTGGTAAACCGACGAATAACGAATCAAATTTAATTCTTTATTCGAAAAGCCATCAACACTGACGTACCCTAAATGCACGAGGAAGTAACGAAGAAAGAACTACACGTTTAGCTGGAAATTTACATAAACGTTGTAAACAACAATTCAAGGGAAATGCACCGTTTCACCTCGAAATGATTACACACTTGACGAACAGGAACGGATTATTTTCAGGAAATTTAATGACTTTTTAAAAAATATTCTAATAACAAAAGGTTTCAAAAATGAAGCCGAATGAATAATTACATTTGCCAATGAAATTACGATTAACACTAGAACTACCAACATCTTTAACGGGAAGAACCTGAGACACTAAATGAAGTTGTCGAATGAAGTATCGACACACATTGTCCTTTTAATGCAACGAAATTTACATATAATCTGGGTAGGTGAACGTGTAGTGGGCAGAGCGAGGATAGAAATGCCTTTGGATTACTTCACCGTGTAACATTGGAATATTTGAACGAATATTTGTAATTTAAGAACAGGATGAAGCGTCGGGACTGCGAGACCAGAATATTTGTTAAATTTGCACACAAAAGAAATTCCATTTAACACTAGAACTACCAACCCAGTGAAAATGACTGGTCCCAGAATTTTCCTTTTTGCAATCACCGAACACATGCACCTGCTTTAAGAATAAAATTGGTATCAACTCGTATTAAGAAAGAACTGTAATCGATATATTCACTCGTATTCATCGTATCGCTGAAATTACTATAATCTGTGCACGTCATAGTTAGGTACCCATTAAAGATCGGTAGTTCTAGCGTTAATTTTCACCGCATTAAAAGAATTCATATGATCGTCGCAGAAGGGTGAACATCGACTCTATTTTCGACTACTTATTTAACTCAGAGATATTAATTTTTGTGCCTGACATTATTTATTATATTTATGCTGATAGCGAGATAGGATATCACGAACGATTTAGTTGCAACGTGTTATTATAGACGCAGTAACGAAAGACAGGAAGTGCTATTCCAAACTAAAATCGTCGATAGAAAATAATTTATTTTAACGTGTCTTTAACTTGTATAAAATAAGATTTGACAATATTTTACACAATTTAGCCTGGATTCGCCACGCTTCGAATGTTCAAACAAATATTTAAGTACAGTAAATAACATTTTTCGTGTTTTCAGAGGATTCGATACGCGGTTAGGTTATTACTTTTACAAATATTATATACAAACATGATGAATATTCGTGGCGAGACTAAGTAAACATACAGCCCCATACGTGTTTTCGGATTCACTTCTTTTTTTTTCCTTTTTTTTTTTTTCTTTTTTTGGTTTTCCAAGCGCAAAGGCGTACATTGTAAGAATCAGGTTTGCCTCTGCACAATTTTTCCTAGAAATTCTGTAACCTACAATGGCATATTTCATTGATATAAATAATGTACGTATCTTTAAATAAATGTTTCGTTTTAAATAATGTGGGTTGATGCAAGAGCGTCAAATCAGATGGATACCTTTCAATCAAATACAACCGTGTTTCGTATATTCGAAATTTACAAGATTCACAGAGTCTTCTGTTGGACTATGTAACGTTGTAAGGAACTTTTCTGTCACCTCGATTCCGAGCTTGTAAAATTGCGCTCCTTGCCTTCGCAACGAGTTTTGAGATCGCTCAAGCGCAGAAGCGAAAGTGACGGAAAAAAGTGTCGTTAATGGCAAATAATCCGACTCTTTTCAACGTGAAATACAATTTCCGATTATTCCAATTGGTTAACTTATTCTCCGCGTAATTATTTTCTTCTCTCTCCTTCTTCGGGTTTCAATTGTTTTAATATAGCGCGCTTTTGGACACAGAATCCATGCAGATTGCTCGCATGATCTCGTTAAATTCTGCCATAACGTCGATAAAATATCCTTTGTTTATGAAATTTGATAAAAAAAAGATACTACATTAGTGCTCCATTTAGAAATGAAGTTAATTCCATTAATTTCTTTTGAATATAATTCATAAATCGTTGATGACTTGCAAATATCCGAGTCAGGAAGTGAAATTACTCCTTACGCTCAAATAAATCCTCTATGATCAGATTCTTATCCGCATATGATAAAATTGTGAGTATTGGTTTCATGAGAGTGTGGTGTTGGTTTTATATGTGTGAATGATATCGAGACAGAATAAATGAAAATTATTTGGTATGATATAAGTATAATATGTGGGAGTGGAATCTAGTGTGAATGTTGATGAAAAATGTTTAGAAGAATGTGGCAAAATGAAACAGTTACGTGAGAATCGTCATAGAATAAACATGAGTTAATAAGAGTGAGAGAGATACAGTCGATCTTTGTGTTTAAAAATAGTTGATTTAGAATTGTCAATATTTAAATATTATTATCTAGATATATTAATTTGTCAATTGTTAAAAAACGTGGAAAATATTGATACTGATTTCTATCCACAAAAATAAAAGACGATAATCCATCGAGAGAAATAAGGACCAATAATCGCTATAAAAATCAATCGGTACCAGGGGAATGGCAGAATGATTAATAAATAATACAAGTTTGTAGAAATACAGATGAACGAATACAAAGAATGGAGCAAGTATGGACGATAAGAGAATATTCTTTTTAATATTAAAAAGAATATTAACCCTTTGCACTCGAGAGGTGACTTACAGTCAGCGTTTCATAAAATTTGGAAGATCGATATTAATGAATATACCAAATTTAAGATAATGTAACAGTATGCAAATAATTCTACGTTTTAATTATTACTCGATTTCTTATTTACTACTGAACAAAATATCGTCATCGGTATGGCAGAAAATTTTTGAAGCCCTACTCTTCTTTAACCAAAAAATCCTCGAGTGCAAAGGGTTAGTAGAATATAATACCAATATTAACACGTTGACTGCCACGCGTATTTTACGTGATTTGCCCATGGCGCCAACATGAATATTTTATTATGCGATGCATATTATGTTGAAATATTATTTACAACAGATAAGGTGAGTCGTATAATCGGGTTTAATGTATTTTTGTGGTGGGGGTCACCGGTGACCCCCAAGGCGCTGTAGACCATTTTTGCCATTATCAATTGTTTAAAAAGCAACTGGAAAAAATATTTCAATTCCCGATTTTAGGATGAAGTTAGCGATGTATTTAGTGAAATATTCTGACGACGAAGATTGCATTTCATCGAGCAATTACGTACAGAAAGAACGTCGTCACGAATGTAAAAAGAAACTTGGAAGTGTGCGAAATGTAAGGCGATTTTGCAAAGTGTGCTATGAAAATAATTCAAATCAGCTAGGAAGAATGAGAGCAAAGAATTGCACTAAAAAAGTGGCGACATACTGTGCCGACTGTTTTGGTTCACCTTTTCTTTGTATAAATAAAATTATTCTTGCATGTTTTGTATGGCATTAATTTCTTCGAACCATTATAGTAACGATGGTACTATTTGAAAATTTATCAGTATCTCTATATATTTACTCTAATTATGTATTTTTACTAATGGTCGCGTCGCCGGTCACCGGCAGTCACATGGCAATCAACGTGTTAATATTATAATTAATATTAAAAGAATATTAAAAGAATATAGATCTACTGCTATGTAGAAACGAAAGATTCCCGGTCCTCTTTATCGTCCCTCGTACTCGATTACATATCACAGAATTGGCGGTAAAATTCCTTGAAATAAATGATACTTGACTCACCGTTGAACTGTCCCTCGGACTGTCCGTGGAAGGTCTCTTGTCCGTCTAGTAACGACGACGACAAGGACGACGGGGGTGTCGAGGGCAGTGGGGTCCACTGCTAGTGAACCCACGAGGGTGGTGCAGCAGGAGTCGCCGCGTTGGTGCTCACGTATACTCCTGCGGGCGCGTTTCCGGCCGTCGTGCCGACCACGTTGTTCTGGGACACGGCGCCGTTCTGGCCGACGTTGCTGTCGCTCACTTGAATCGCGGCCGTGCCCATCACGCCCTGTTGGAAGTTGAAGTCCAGCGTCCCGTCCATCGACAGCTCGTGCTTGATCACCTGAAAATTCCGTTCGTCGCTTCGAGAATTTCTCCGCGTCCCGATGAAACTCCACGAGATGTTGCAAGATGAATGCGATTGTAATTTCAGACCAGCGAGATGAACAAAATGGCAGAGTTTAGCGCTTTGTACGGAGTACTCTGATGCGTCCAAGAGGAAGGGTACGTTGGAGGTTTGTAAGAAGCTTGTGTGGATTATATCGCGTGTTCCGGATACTCGCATTGGCGAGCTGGCATTTAAGCACTTGAAAGGGAATTTGTAATATAACGATATTACGGAATGTGGAAGGTATATGCACGTAAAGGAAGACTCGAGACACTATAAGTTTTTATCATTTACGATGCATTGTTTATTAACCCTTTGCACTCGAGTGGTGCCTCTCAGTCACCATTTAATCAAATTCTAAAGATGGTTATTGATTAATATATCAAATTTACAATTACCCAACGATGCGTGGAATACCGAAGTAAAATAATTCTATGTCTTAATTTGCATACGATTTCTTTTTTACCGTGTTAGAAATGTCGTCGAAGTTATGACAGAATGTCTTGGAATTACTATTTTCTGTAACGAAAAAATCGCCGAGTGCAAAGGGTTAATAATAATGATGTAAACCCTTTGCACTCGAGAGGTGACTCTCAGTCACCGTTTGCATCAATGCTATAACTCAAATAACGAATGATAATAATTATATTAACTACGCGCGAAATATCGGAATAAAATAATCCTATTCGTTCATTTCTCACACAAATGCACGATTTTCTTTTTTTATTTTGGCATAAAGAGTATCAGCGAGCTTATGAAAATCTAAGAAAAGCTTCGAATTGCTGTCTACGACGAAAAAGTCATCGAGTCCAAAATATTAGGAAAGGTATCGAATAATGGTAAAATGATTACAATCAACAGTACCAATTCCACGTTTAACGTGATAGGAAATGCAATTGGTTAATCAAATTATTATCCCTGTACACTGGAAAATTTCCTCGTTATGAAGATATAACAATTCGAAGCTTTTCTTATATTTTTCTTATCTCAGTGACACCATTTATGATAAAATAAAAAGAGGAGTGTATTTCATTTCGATATTTCACGTGGAGTTATTTCTAATCTAGTAATATCTCATACTCGTTAAATCAGTGACACCATTTATGTTAAAATAAAAAGAGGAGTGTATTTCATTTCGATATTTCACGTGCAGTTATTTCTAATCTAGTAATATCGCATACTCGTTACTCAGGCTTCCAAGTATTGAAACAAACGGTGACTGACAACGAGAGTTACCTCTCGAGTGCAAAGAGTTAATTTTACAAGCTCGATTGTCGTCTGAAAATGTACTTTAACGCTTGGGTTATGTCCGTCGTTACCTAAATGAAGTATCAGGGTGTTCAATAAACATTAAATCTATAAAACTAAACGTTAAAAATATAGGAAAAAATATTTTTAAAAATCAAACGAAATAACTGTAAAAATAAAAGAATCTTTACATATAACTCTCTCTAAGACTCGTAAATACATAATATTTTTTAATAACGATCTACGTTGCTGATATATTTCAGCATGAATCCGGTTGCAAAATATATAATTAGGAAAAAAAAATTATCAGGAAATTATTTATCAGGAAAAAAAAAAAGAAATGAATGAAAAGGAATTTTATATCTCGAAGAAAATCGATATCTCGAAGGTGAAAACGTGCAATATGTTATGCGATTTTTCCTTAAGACCAGGGGTATTGCAATTTTACTGAGAAATTGGGCACATGGAAACGAAACGAACCTCCTCCACGTTGCAGTCGAATCCACCGTGCAACGATTCGATGTTAATGTTCAGATCGTCGAGGATCGTCGGGTTATTGAGGGCTCCCATCAATTGGCCCATCATCGTGGTAGGTGTGGGGCCGCATGGCGTGGGTGTTTGCGGTGGGCTGGAACCCGTTGCCCCTGTTTGCGGCTGTTGTTGCTGCTGCTGCTGCTGTTGCTGTTGCTGCTGCTGCTGCTGCTGGCACTGTTGCGTCTGTATCATGTACTGCAGAGTTTGCTGCTGATTGCTTCCTAATGCCGTGGGACTTGGTTCGCTCTGTTGGTACGACGGTGACATTCCAGCCACTGGACTCAAGTTCTGAGATTTTCCCAGGGAAAGGATACGACGATTGAAAGTGGAATTACGAAATCGTCTAACTACTTGTCTGGATACGATGGCAAACATTGGAAAGTACGATTTTAAACTCAGGATGAGGAACAAACGATCAGTTTGGAAACACCGATGTGATCGGATGCTACCCCGTTGCTTCGACATTAATCCTTCGTGTGACTGAATCGTGGACATTTATATCGTGCACGCTGCATACGAGATATAAGGGATTATGTTCGAGCAGAATTTTCGAATGCACGTAGCTACTGGAAGACTGGAAACTGGAATTAAAAATGAGAGTTAAGGTAATTACGACTACCCCGAAGAAGCTTCTAAATCTTTGAATGGAATCGGGACGTGAAATCGCTTTAAACGAAATCCATTGTCCCCAGAGCGGTAAGGAAAACATATTATTCTTTCATCAAAAGAAACATTGAATCGGATAACGGGTATACGATAATAGTAAGCTAATCCAATTTTTACAAAAGCATAAGCGGTGCCGGGCTAAACGAATTACGCGACAATCGCGTCGCTATATTCGGATTCCAATGTCTGCCAAATCCAAAGAAGAACAACAAGACGATCTAGCTAGGATAATTTCATAATCGGCCGTAAATGCGACGGAATCGATTTAACCCGCGACACGTCTATCCGTGAAACATGCATCGGACCATAGCTGGTCAGAGGATTCCGAGTATCACCGATGGAGCAAAGCCTTTCCCGTTCTAAATATCCGAGAAACCGACCCGAAGCATTCGAGAACGCCGAATGGCCGCCGGACAAAGACTTTTTGTCCGGACAAGCAAGAAAAATGAGAAAACTCCGCGTTTGTCCCTTTTGTTGGCTGTGCAAGTACTTAATTCGCGGCGAACGATATGCCTCTGGAAACAATCGGCGAAAAACCCTTAAACCCGGATAATCCAGCCTTCCACCCTTTCATCGTCTACGTAGCCGGGTTACAGGCTTTGCTACACTTTGTTCCCTTTCAGTAGCCAAGTGTTACACGCAGCTTGTCCCTCTTTGTCCACTCACCATTTGACAGGCACACGGCTGCAGACCGTGAATCGGGCATCTCTGCTGATTTGCCGATTGAGGAGTTGGCTGCAGAGCGAAGGAAGACGATCCAGTTGACAGACTATTGCTCCTCTGATATTGGGTCTCGTAATAAGAAGGTGGTGGCCCGGTCTGTTGCTGGTGGCTCGGTGGTGATGTCTGATACATTTGATAGGGATCCAGTTTCATCGTTTCCGCGAGGCTACCGGCTGTGTTCGTGTTCGGTGGAAAGAACGTATGTTAATTGAATTTCTACTGCCATTTCTTAGCTGCGTGCGTTTCATGCTGAGCCATCCGGGCTCCGATTCGAAGCGACATTGTACCGTTGCGTCGAATCGAAATAGAGGCCACGAGTTTTCCCAACTTTCCAAATATCCCTCTACCGTTCGAAGAAAATTTGACTTTTACGCTGTCCAACTTTCTAACGCGTTTATCCCTCCGACGACATATTTCTTTTGCTTCCAAGTTACGATTTTCTACATCGTCCCGGCATTTCCAATAAGTTACTTTCTCTATTTAAACACAATATTCCGTTAAATATCGATAAATATGAGAATCTTCGCTGGATATTTTATACTATTTATTTTTACCATATTTCATATGTCAAATATTTAAATACGCGTGTCTTCTACTGTCAGCTGTACCAACTCAGTTTCCATTGTCATAATCGTTTAAAGATTTTTAATAACGTCGAGCAGTCGAAACTCGTAGCCTCTACTTTCCACTATGACAAAGAAGCATAGTTTGCCAGCGTTATAACCGAGATACGAAATCGACTGATATCACGGTGACTCTAATACGCGACAGAGTGCTCAGCCGTCAGCCATTGCGTACCAAACTCTCGAAATCTCTGTCGTGTCGCGCGTGTAATTGAAATGCAGTGCAAGAGAATTTTAAAAAGAGAAAAATAATAAAAAAAAAAATAATGCAAGATAAACGGTGAACGTTTAGCGAAAGATAAAGAGACATATATGAAATCGTAGTGCGTACCTAATTGTTCTGGGCTATAAGAGGGTGCGTATGTTGGAGTCCATTCCGGTTTCCCAGGGATCGCTGGGATTGGACTTAATCGACCACAGGATGAGGCATTGCTCGAAGCTCGAGGACTCGAATAAAAAATAGTTCAAATGTATTTTAAATGTGCGGATATTAAAGTACAAACTATACGAGGGTGTGCGAGAGGCTATTAATGGTACGGCCATGTAATCTATGGTCTACCCTGCCAGACTGTTCGCAAACGCAAGCGAGAGTGGTGCGTTATGCGTGCGATTAGTACAGAAGCGTACGTAGAAAGTGGTTTTGTACTTTTTCCCAATAGCGATTCAAGCTGATGCTTTCCTCCTGCTCGTTATCGCAAACAGGATATACGAGCCGTTTATTTTGAAAGTGGTCTAAGTTCATTTTTACTTAAATTGAGATATTTAAGGGTTTGTGTTTCAATGCAATTAAAAATATACGTACAGGACACTAATTGTTTAAGTGTATCTAAAGGAGTTGAATTTATAGTTCCTATTAAAATAATGACAATTATTCAGCGAATAATATGCGTTTTCTTACCAAGAATGGAGTTAGGCCACTTTCAATATTAGCAACCAGATTTCTTATAAAATTTGAAGGAGCCCAAGTCCATTCAACGTAATTTAAGATGCTTCAAATTGAAAGAAACAATACTCCATTTATTTCATATATCTTTACAACACTTCAGAAACATAATTTATGCGATTCGAAACATTTTTTAACTACATAAATTACAAAACAATTTACTGCTCATCTACATTTTGCGTGTGTGAAAGGGATTTGAAGAAATCACGATGTTCGTTTTGTTCTTCCCCATGGATGAAATAATTTCTAAAATTTAATATTAAATTTTAAGTTTTATATTTAACTGTAAGTATGTATATTGCGTAAATTTTGTTTAACTGCATTAATTAAACGTACTGATTATTCGACTAAAGCAATTGTCCAAAAACTGAGGTTAACTTGTTAAATACTAATTAATTAAAATTACCTTCATCACTGCCTTCGGACAATATCGGTAATAAATATCTCAATTTAAGTATAAATGGACTTAGGCCACTTTCAAAATAAACGACTCACATATTTGACATCGAGTAATTCTTAAGGGGCTGTTAAGGCAGAAATAAAATTTATTTTTGCGTCACGTTGCCTTTGCTGTAAATTTGTATACAGGTACCTTAAAGACACAGATGTGTAAAATAAGAGAAAGATGCATTAACCTTCCGACTGAATCCTGATATACGCTGAATACTTTAATAAAAAAGATCCGATTATAGTAGCCAGGTATTATTTTCCAGAGATAATAATTAACGAATAATCAATTGCATTTTATTTCATACGCGATTCTTTTTATATTAAATACCGTAGAATTAAACGGCACGTGGAATTATTTTAGCTCGATTTGATTATCTTGCAAAATTGAATCGTGTTATTTTATATTTTAAATGTATTTCCCGTATTTACATTTATTATTTGTAGAAGTTAATTTTGTTATCCCAGATCTTTTTACTACGACAATGGAGGATATTAAAATAATTATTAGAGAAACATGAAATGTGTAACTTGGACTAATTTATCGGAAAATAATTATATCGTATATCTCGGAATAACTTATATTCAAATTCATACGTGAAATAATGTTTTAGAAATAAACGTGCCGTGTGCATCGATCCGATGTTTTAAGTTAAATTTTTGATCGAATTAAATTAAACGAAACTGACGAAATAATAAATTTTGAAATAGTGTGAAAGATTCTTCTTCGAAATAACAATGGTGATATTTTATATAATAACCAAAGATAACTGGCACGATGAATCGACTATATCGAACAAGACTACGGCAATAAGAATTTTATCGATTGAAAAATTGAACGATAAATAAAGTGTTTCGTCGAATAATAAAGAATGTATTTAGTAAAACGACCAAACGGTTCGTTAAATTTGAACAGGCAATTTTAGCTTAAATTTTATAAATCAAATTTCCACTCCGTTTTAATAATTTCCAAAAATCGCGTCAATGAAGCCAGGACTGAAAAAGCCTTTATACCATAATATCCAAATCTACAAAATTTGTGCCTCTTTAATTATAAATAAATTCGTGACTCGTGAATTTGTATTTTCAAATTACACAGTTCTCGAATAAAGACGATTTCACGCTACTTCGACAATTTTTCCTCTAAAATATCGGCATCCATTATTAAAATCGCGTATAACTCCAAACGCTTTGAATTAGCTACTTCAAAAAGGGGAAAAAAGTTTTACAGAGAACGAGTCGTACCAATCGTAAAATTATTCCTCGAGAAACTCGCATTATGGCATTCAGTTGGAAGGTTAATAACCAATTAGCTAGGAAAAATATTTAAGCCAACTATCGTTCCGTTTTTCTCGATAAACATGTATGCACCGAGCGCGACAAGAAATGTAATTACTTTTCCGTTTAATGGAAACTTTAATATTACAATATCTTGTAACCTTTGCAAGGAACTAAACAAAAAGTCGAAACCACTTTAATACGTCGCTTCGCTAATTACTCGCTATAATATCTAGCTAAATGCTTTACAAATCAAAATCATGGAGCACTCGACAGTCGCGCCATGACAATTGTATATCCACGTTTCCATCGTTGAAAGCTAAAAACTTACGTTTGTAAACGCAAACCTCGACGACCTTTTACGACATTCTTTAACGATGACGATTAATTATTCCGCGAAAATTACACAGTCGATGATGGAATAATTTTAATTCCGGTTCCTAGCCAAGTGGTTCGGAAGAAAGCATAAACGGGATGAAACGACCAAGGATCGAATCAAATCGAATGGGTAAAAAATTCGAGATACGTTGTTTGGCGAATCGGAGGGAGGCACAGACATACCGAAAATCAGGTGAAAGCTGAAATCCACTGCCAGGTTGAAGAGGACTGTCCGGGAAGAGATCCAACCCCTCGTTGACGCTGTTACTGGGGCTAGGTGTCGCGTCAGCTTGTAAACCCCCGTTCCTTAGCGCCTCGATCTTCTTCTTCACCCTGCCACGTCGCTTCTCAAATTTACTGGTCTCCATGGTTATTGCCCTGCGAGTTATCGACAAAGGCCGTGGCAGCGTGCAGCGTGACAGCGAGGAATTTTCGCAAAACGAACAGGCACTTACCTCCTACGCGACTTGCCTGGTTTCGCGTCGCGATTGATCATCCACCAGGAACTCTTCCCGGTACCCTCGTTCTGCACTCGCATGAATCTGCTGTGCAACGACAGGTTGTGTCTTATGGAGTTCTGTAAACAAAAGTAATAAAGCCAATTAGAACGAATTCTAAGTAGTCAAGTACACAATGGGCCCGATACATTCGACCCAGATCGCGATAACATTTTACTGAAATTTCGCGTCGAAAATTTTAGTAAAAGTTACTTATTCGAAGGAATTTTTATTTCAGGAGATTTCGTCTTGTTGACGGAGACCTAATTCCAATCTTTGGTTAATCGTATGGAATTTCTAATGGATCATGTTCCATGCCAACTTGATTTACAATACGTTTAGCAATACGCTGAAAACATGTTTTATGACATATTTAATTCTGCAAAATCAAAATATCAATTTTTAGCCAAAACAATAAATGGCCTGGAGATCATGTCATATCGAGATAAAAACATTGAATAAGAAGTGAAACCTTTGCGAGTCAAGTCCCATTTGACATGTTCATAGCTAAGGGCACATTTCGAAGTGCTATTCAAAGTTTGACTTCATTTTTATGTTTCTTATGAAGACTATTTCTTGTGCAAAGAAGTTCTTTGCTATTTCTATCTTCTCTATCAAGATTTTAATAACGAACGTTCGATTGCCATGATCAAATGTTGCGCATCATGTTACGCGACGTACCCTGTATATCTGTCAAATTAAATTGCAACGCGAAGATATAAGTATTATGAGTTAAAATTAAAATAGCTAGGTTAAGATGGAATATCGACTTTAGCTCGACTCCTCGTCACGAAGAATTAACGTTAAGATAAAGAAACAATGGGAATAGTTATAGCAATTATGACAAAAAGCAACGAGGTTCCTCGAGACCCTTGCTGGTAAGAAGTGCGAGTAAATGGATAAACTAATAAGAAGATTTGTTTAACACAATAACAGCGCAACATAAATTATAACTATATCTCGTAAAATAAATAAATAATAAAGGCTATATGTAACGACTGTCATTAAACTACTGATTGTTTTTCCGCGACTCTCTGGCATACTCGTCACACACACTTTCTTCCACGCAAACATTCCCCGCACTCGTATCACACAGGACAACCGCTACAACAAGAAGTGTCAACGACCATAACTCGGTATGTTAGGAATCGAGGAAGAAAGATTTCGATGCATCGTTATAATCACCCTTAAACGAGATAAACGTTAAACGACAGATAAATGTAGCCATACTCGAGAGTAAGTATCGAAGAAGTTAGGTGACTAACCGTTTTACGTACTTATAAAACACGAACTGGAAGTTTCATCTGTTTGGATGTTACGACATCGAATAAGATATAAAAGCTGCGTGATATATCGATGACACTAAAATTACCGATAAACTCGGGCAATAAAATTAAAATTACCTTTGTAATCTTACTTCTGTGAAAGAAAATTACCGTTCAACCCTTTCCCTTCTCCTCATAATTCACGCAATTTACAACATCGTACACGGAAAGCGTCAGATAAACTTTATCTCTGACATCTCTCTCCCACCCCCAGACTCAATTGTGACATCTGCAAAAATGTCTACCCGCACTCGATCGCGATAAATCCAAGAGTGTGAATTAAGGGACTTATCATTCGCGGAAATCTTTTACGGCAACTTCATAATTTCAATTTCGTCGGAATTTACGAGCACCCGGTAGCGCACGCTGCACACCCTCTATCGATATCTCGATACCAGTTCCTTTTTACGCTCCCGCGTTCGCGCGTAACATCGCGATCGAACCTCCACGCGAACGTTTGCATTGTCGGGACGGTTTTATACCGTGTACAAAATCGATTCGTAGAGTGAGTCATGAGAGCCACGTTTTATCGCGTTCCGTCAGACAGAGACGTTCAGCCTGCTTGTTCATTAGGCAAATTGAATCGACGTAGTCGCCGGGGCCCTTCTTCTTCCTTCCAAAAATTTCGCAAAGCTTCTACCCTAATATGAAAGTAGCGCCGAGAAGCGATAACAATTTCCTTTCGTCTTCGTCCCACGGCCGTATCTCCCGCGAAATGCACCCGGCCCAAGGGGTGGCCTTTTACGTAAAGAGCGCGCGATATCGCGGCAAATAAAAATTACTTTTGCCAAATCGATCGGGCCTCGTGTGCACCGCTCGAGCCAACTTCCACGGCAACTTTCCCAAATTACAAGAATCCCATCTTATTGCCATCGTTCGGAGAACACTGTCCGCTCGAAATGCAGATTTTATTCCGCTCGAGCTTCTCGCGACCTCGTGATCGCTGTTGCACGATACTTTTCCACCATTTCCCACATCGAATCCAAGTCGAATTTCACGACTCCGATTTCCCAGTGGCAGGATTTTGATTTATTTTCCGTCAACTTTCTTCGTCGCGATCGGTGATCGAGATTGAGACGGGTTATAGGGGTGCGGTAGTCTTAAAGGATTAAAATATGAATTTTGATAATTAACCCTTTGCACTCCACGACCTTTTCGTTACAGAAAAATAGTAATTCGAAGACTTTCCGTCATAGAGTCGACGAAATTTTTAAAATGGTAAATGAGAAATCATATGTAAATTGGGAAGTAGAATTATTTTCCTTTGACATTCCACACATCGTTAGGTAATTTTATATTTGATATACAGGTAGCCTTCCAACAACACGGCATCCTGCAACACGGTTTCACTATAACACGATTCATAAATTGCGGCAACCCTCCCACAACACGGCATCCTATAACACGGTTTCACTATAACGGATTTGATGGAAATGGCATCCGAAGCTGTAAATCAAATCGATTCCGAGGACACTAGCACCGACGAAGATTGTGCAGTTAATAATTTAACATTAAAAAATTACAAGAAGGCCTAAGCTTAGCTGAAAATCTCGAGTCATTTTTCTCGAATGCATACCCTTCCGCTGAATGAAGCCGAAAATTCAAAAGGGAACTGCAAAACTGTTTAGCTCCATACCGAGAAATTTACAATGACCTGGTAAAAACCAGCGAGCAAAGTGAAATTACGGATTTTTTAAGAGAGAAGAAGATGCAAGAACTTTAAATGAAGAAAAAATTTCTGAATGTGAAGACGATATCATTCCGGCGAAAAAAAGAAAATTTATTAAATTAAAATTGCATTAAATTAAAATAATATTTTTGTTCTTTTTTTGTTTTATGTTGTACATACATTTATATTTCTAATAAAAATTAAATTGTTTATGTAGAATTAAAGAAAGATTTGTTTTTAATAAGTTTTCGGAACGCAACCCCCTTTTTGTACTGGCTTCGGGTCTCGTACAACACGGTTTCACGCAACACGGCATTTTCTAGGAACCTGTCTACCGTGTTATAAGAGGGTTACCTGTATTAATTAACTTCTTTAGAATTTGATTAAATGGTGACTGAGAGTCACCTCTCGAGTGCAAAGGGTTAATAGATGCGTTCGTTTTTATTAAAGAATTATGCGGCCACTGTTGACGAAAATTTGCTTGTTATTTCGCGATCTATATCCTTATTGAACACAACGTATGTATTTTACACGCAATATTTTGTTTACGTTAAATTCGCTATTTATGGCGACCGGGAAGATATGATATTTGAAAATTTTCATAATGACCATACATCGCATTTTTCATTGCATTATTTCCTGCGAATAAATATTAATAACAACGAATATTCTACCTCATAATTCCCTGCATAACTAAAAATAAAAGAAAAAATAAATTAAAGGTAAATAATTCATGTAAAGAAATATTAAATAATATTAAAACCGATAAATTAGAAACACCATGATCTAACTATTCGTCGAATATTATGAAACGAATAATATTTATGACGTCGCTCTTTCGCTTTCTTAATTAATTTTCGTATCTCCCCGATATAAAGGAAACGAGTGTACAAAGTGCGAACATACATGGACGGAAAGGTGGAAAAAGAGAGAAAGAGGGGAAAAATGGCGACTGTCGGATCACGCAATCGCGTGGATCATAATCGTCATGGACGAAGTGGAAAACTTGCGGTTGCTCGTGGAACGTGTTCCCCGATTCGCGAACAATTAATCCGCCAAATAACCCGACTATTCGAAGCCGCAGTAAAACCGTATCGGCCGGCCACTCGTGCCTCGATCTCGCGTTTAAGTGGGTCCACTGGCGAATAAATCTGCGAACGGTGCAGGCTCATTACTTTTATTACGCCGTAGTGTTTCCTGCCTTTACTGCGGACACTGTTCTCGAAACTTGACCGATCGTTTGGCTGGCAGAGCCGTGGAACACGCGGACGGATAGACGGCGAGCAGCGATCGTGGAAGTTAAAGTATTTATCGGGACAGGGCGGTTGCGCGACGCGAGTACCGATGAGGATGCTTTTACGATCGATCGCCATCGTCGATTCCTTTTACCTTCGAGCTCTCGGTGACAGACTCGTAGGGTTCACGACGCCGATCCCGGCTATTCCAGTCGTTCAGTCGCGGGCTATACAGCGAGACTTTACAGCCCTATCATTTTCCCTGCCTTTATCGGCGGTACACTTCCAAGATGAAGACATTTTTGGCGCCGCTATTCTGATTTTTAAATCGACCCCGGTCATTCGCGTCCCGATGAGGACGCGACAAGAAGGAACGAATGAACCGGCCCCCGTGGAATTTGTTTTCCGCCTCTACGGCTAACCGCCGATCGCTCACCCCTTTATTGCCAAACATATTACTCGCGTTTATGCTGCGCTTCGCTTTTC